TTATTTTGTGTTCTGTCTGACGACAGGTCCATATGACCAGGATCCTTCCATCCTTTTCTCGGACTGGGACTTGTTCATATACGTTCTTGGCAGATGATCCAGCAGTGGTTTGCCATTGCCTTCTTCTGTGTGTGGATGGAGTAATTGTTGGGATGCCACGGAGGAAAACTCCGTGTTGCCTAGACCACGGCCTTGCCCAACACAAGTTATAAATTCGGGCACCGCCGGGAATCGAACCCGAGACCTCCAGGATTACAAGGCCAGCGTTCTAACCGCTAGACCACCGTGGCGGTCCAAAACGGAAATATCCAACGATAAATGCAGTATTTTCCTTTACATTTTCCGAGATATGAAAGTAATTAAAACTCCCTAAAACATAAGTCTGAAGAGTAGCAACATAAAAAACACATGTTTAGAGGCCTGTATTTTGTAGACGTGTGAAGGATTTCAGAATGCCACTTACATTTGAATTGTTCTAGCCGTTTACACTTAACGAGGATCTGCCGACAGAGCCATGCAACAACAAAGATGGAAGTGTCATTCTTAAGTCCTTACTTCATTCGATGGTTCGTGTGTTCAAATTTTTATGTGCTGTGAAGGATAAAACTCATTATGAAAAAAAGTCAGTTTCTGCACTGAACAAAATCTGAATTTTTAATGTACGCAAATGAGACACTTCTGCCATCTTTCAACAATTCAAGTAAAATATGTATGGGTTTTAAAAATCGAAACTATAAACTACATTGAAATACATAAATATTTAAGTAATTTGTTTTCTGAATTACACTCTGCCCGGGAAGAACACATAATCACGGACCTGCCGAGTGCCTACTAGTCTCATCGCATTTGCAGCGACAGGAGGCGACATCTATTAGACACGTGTGTGTTCCTGAAGACTGAGAGCAAATTTGCCCCGGGCAAAAGTCAATTACAGGGAAAAACGAACCTCAAACCCGCGTCGATATTGTTCGTCGCCAGACTAAGGACATGTCAATCACTAATCGATAAACGGGGTGGGAGGGGGGTTTCCACACAGGGGTGGAAATAATGTCCTCAGAGGTCACGTCAGACAATAAATAAGAGAGACTGGAAACTTAAACTTTTTGGAGTAGATACATTGAAATTCAAAAGCTGTTCTTCACGCCACATCACGTCAGTAGGTGCTTTGTTGATAACCACAGCTCAAACAAATTCTGGACATAGATCGCTCTTACTCGAAAGCAATAACAAATGCAACACTGGGACCCAGGTCAATGGTGCGTTAACGGGGTGGGAGGTAACAATAACCTCGGTTCCCACAGTCGCAACCACGCATTCTATGAACGGCCTGAGTCCCCATTGTGCCAACAAAGAGTTTCCCAAATACATTCCTCGCCGTTCTGCACGCTTCATTGGCCTTGATGTTTACGTATTGCAGATGGAAATACGATTTTGAAGGTAACCGCAACACACAGACATCTCATTGCAACAAATCAATGTGATTACTTCATTTAGTATTTACTTAAGCACGTCTATTGAAACTATCGAAAAATGCTAGAATATCCTGAGAGAAAGCTTTAAAAGCGAATTCCTAATCTCGTAGCTGATCTGTTAATTTCAATGGACGCGTATAAGACGCCAGAGACGTCAGACAAAAGGATCCTTCAGCCGGAACACATCAACGGCTTAAACAGTGATGTGGATGACAAATGACGTAATTTCTTGTTTTGTACGGGTGCGAAACTTGGTTTCTTGCTTTAAAGGACGAACACAAATTGGGGGGGGGGGGTTAAGGAGAATATTCGGGCAAAAAGGAAAGAAAAACAGTCGTTTTAGGGCATTTCATAACAAGAAGTTTCATAATATGAAATATCCATTGAAGGAGGATACGTTGAACGGGCATGTAGCATGCAAGGTAGATGAGAAATTCATTGAAAATATTAGTCAGAAAACCTGAAGAGACTACTTCAGAGACAGAGGCATAGCCAGGAGGACAATATTAAAAAGGATGCGACTGTATGGAGTGGATTCATCTGGCTCTGGATCGAACCGGTAGAGGGCTCTTGTGAACACGGTAACAAATCTTCGGATTCTATACAAGGCACAAAATGTCTTTATCAACAAAGCAACTATCAGTTCTAGGGAATTAAGAAGGCCGAATGGTGGAAAGACTGGACAGCCCTGAGTGGAGACAATTGTAATTGACGAGTGGTTTCTGTTCATGGCAATGTGAGACCGGATACACAGATGACAGATTCTGAGAATCGTCGACATTCTGAAGACGAGGAATTGGATTGGCCGCCTTTGTTTCCGACTCTAGCGAAGTGCACAAAGCCCCAACTCAGCGTCGCCGCTGGGACTAAATGCGGTCAAATCAAACGAAATGACTCGTCATCAGACGGGATAAAATGTGTAAAAAGTTTTTCAGCGTCTTTCAATTGGTGTCACGATTGGATGCAATTTACCAGTTTTTACATTGTTTATACCAGACACATAAAAATAACGCCGTCTGTTTCATACGACTTGTTGGGCAGATTTCGACTAAATCTCGTACTGAGCCTCTACACAATTTAATTTAGGTTCGTATTGAATCGTGTACGTCTGACCAGTACCAGCAGCAGAGCGTCTCGCGCGCCATGAGAAAGCTCCAGACTTGCGAATACCTCTGAACCAGATGTCAGCCGATAGACTTAAATTACGTTCTTGAAGCCGCCAATACGAGCGGGTGTCTTGAAACAGACGGCTGTTGCACACCGGAAGTGCTTGAATAAATACCGGGAAGAACTACTTTCTCCGTTATTCTGTCTCAAGGAGCGGCCAGAGCTCAAAATTCGTATTTTATTAATCTCTTTCTTTGAAATCAAGTTCTGGGTTATCATTCATTGCCATTTCTACAGCTCGCAGAAGTATTTGAATAAATAAACTATAATACAGACCTTAAGTAGGATTAAGTAACACATGGCTGGAAGAAACTGCTTTGTGACGGGGTTCATGTTTTGTACTCTTCATTAAATATTATCAAGACGACAAAATCAAAGAGATTGAGGGTGGCGGGGCATGTAGCACACACGGGGTAGATGAGAAATGTGTACAAAATGTTGTTTGAGAAGCCTGAAGGAAGACTGAACCGCGGATAACTGAAATCCGCGACTGGCAAAGGTTTCTGAAGAAGCCTGCATTTCTCCTACCTGACGTCGTGGGGCATTGGCAGAGTTGCACCGCGGTCCAGTAGGATCTTTATAATCTCGTAGTTGTCACGATGCGCCGCCAGAATGAGTGGTGTGATGTCAGGGGTAAATGTTGCGGTGTCTGGAGGCAGGGCTTCCCAACTCTGAAACACAAATACCACAGATTTGCGTTCTGGAAACCAAATATCGTCAAAATATTATTTAATAATTCAGCCCGTACCGCAAAGAAAACACATCACTCCACCATTACAAAGATCAACTGGTTAACGCTGTTTAGTAAAATAATAGCTGTTTACAGCAAGAATCATACGAAGTATATCAATGAAAAAAGTACTAAAAATAACTAACATGATGCTTCAGGGTGTTTCTTGAAAAGGTGGCATCCTGCAGGTCGAGAAATTCCCAGCTGCAGCCGAAAGTGCGCACACCATGCTCACAAAAAGCCAAAGCGTGACTTACCACTAAATTCCATCCAGTATCGTGATAAAGAATAATCGAAGGTTTACCTCCACTCCCCCTATACACATTCTAGGTTGGCCGGCAACAGGACAGATTTGATTCCACCTGCCAGTTACGAGAGACTCTGGTCTGTAGCTCAGAAATTCTACGTCCTTATCAACAGAGTAACACAACTTTAGGAACACCCTGAGGCCAGCTAACTAATACGGATTCATTAAAGGTTTTAATTTTTATCATAACGCCTTAAAGTCGAAACCTAATCAATCGGCCCACGGCTTATAAACGGAGTTGCATTTAATCGTTAATTAAAATGAAAGAGAAAGCAATGTTCCCAGAAGCCGTTTGTAGCAGACGCCAGACGTGAAAGTTAAGAACGTCGCCGATGAGACAATCAAGCGAAGGGTGAGAACGTCGGTCCGCGCGTATTGTTCACGGGAAGAGCAGCTTTGACGCCGACATTTCATCTCATGCTTATTAATTCCGTTAATTGAAAGCGGACCTACCACAGATTCTCGCACACAGAGACTGTTTCCCAAATGTGTTCTCTGCCATTTCGCGCGACTCACTGAACTTGAAATATTACTGCGATGATCAGATCAAAGATGAGATGGGGGAGGCATGTAGCATATTGGGAGAATGAGAAACTCGTCTAAAATTTTGGTTGGAAAAGAGACCACATTAAAAAAGATCGTACGCAAATAAGACTGAAAGCAGAAGTAAATATTTCTTCAGTATAGGGACTGGTGGCTGCTTTTTGGTAACCCGGTAACAACACTTCGGGTTCTTTAAAGAGTGTGGAATGTCTTAATCAGAGCGATGATGGAGGCAGTAAGGTCCCCTGAAACGTCGGCCAATGTCTACCAGAAGACAGCCGTCGCCGTGAGAACCTGAAATGCCACCTTACAAAGCCTGATTTGATATTCATGCAAAGTCGGCTTAGACTCACAGCACTCAAAACCAAATTTCATCAAAATGCATTCAGTTATTTCGATACTATAATATTTTGGCAGAGAGACAATAACAGCGCATATTTCATATTTCGCAATACGGTTGCAATGAACATACTGAACTAACGTACTGACTCCGTTGAACAGCATCACATATAAACTCCACGGCACGTCTTCCTGCAGCAGCTGAAACCAGTCCGCCACTGTTTGTATAAGACATATGTTTAAAAGCAATAGCGTTCACTTGTTTATGTGATGTGTGTGTGTGTGTGTGTGTGTGTGGGGGGGGGGTACTTTAGGCACTGTTAGTTAATGGCACTCGGCTTTCTCACTCACTGGTCCTTTTGATCAGACGCCAAACAAGCAGACCGCAGTAAAACGCTTTACGACCCCAGTGTCAGCCTCTGCGCTAAAATCCGCCCTATAGAAATGCACTTCTGATAAGCAACAGCACGCACCTAAAACAGAACCCTGACTGGACGCAGACCGAGGGCTTCAAGGAGGATGAGATAGGAGGGGCATGTAGAATGCGTGAGCGGCAAGAAACCTTTTATTTTATTTGTAGTGTTCTGTCTGACGACAGGTCCATATGAACAGGATCCTTCCATCCTTTTCTCGGACTGGGACCTGTTCATATACGTTCTTGGCAGATGATCCAGAAGTGGTTTGCCATTGCCTTCTTCTGTGTGTGAATGGAGTAATTGTTGGGATGCCCCGGAGGAAAACTCCGTGTTGCCTAGACCACGGCCTTGCCCAACACAAGTTATAAATTCGGGCACCGCCGGGAATCGAACCCGAGACCCCAGGATTACAAGGCCAGCGTTCTAACCGCTAGATACACAAACTTTAATTCTGAAAATATAAAGGGAGAAAGCGCTTGAAAGACCGAGGCGTAGATGGAATGATAATATTAAAATTGATATTAAAAAATATGTAGATTGTGAAAGTGCAGACTGGATTCATCTGGCTAAGAATACGTAGAGTCCAGCGTCTTATGAGACGGTAATGAACCCTGGAGTTCGACAAAGATAGGACATTTATTGACTAGTTGAGCAACTATCAGCTTATACAGACGGACTCTGCTCTTCATAGAGATCATTTCGGTTCCGTCAAAATGCATGTCAATTTGTGTCCATCAGACGTAAACTATTACACGCGGAAACAAGACGGAAAAACACGGAGTTCATAAGAAAGTCTACTTGGGTTATTTCGTGCTTTTTGTTAGTATAATTTCTTTCCATTCTGTGCTTAAAATATCACCCGAGAAGAGACATTTATTTACAATATAACTTCTTACTGTCAACAAAATATGCGTAAAATACTTTAATGGTCTGCTATAAAAAGGAATAAAGAAATTGTGTTGTAGCCATGGTAACTGCAGTCTATGTGTTGCTTCGGAGCACGTGTATCGCAGCTTTATTAATCACAGAATCGGCGAAATTGTTCTACTACGTTTCGTTGCCTGGAGATGCAATAAGTCAAGAGGTGGGAGGATTCTTAATCTCCCTGAGAGCGGGGAGCGCCGTCTGGGATAATAAGACTGCTAATTGTGCTACAGATTGTTTCGCTTAGGGATCTTGGACATTTGAGCAAAACAG